TTACATCTCATACCTCCGTTGAGTAATGTGATCAGGGTAAGCGTCACCAAGCTGATTACAACCGTGGCCCTGCACCCATTCCCTCTCATTCTGCTCTGCCATTTCTTCATGCATTTCGCTTACCAGCTACTAAGAGTCTGCATTTTAACCTGTCACTTTATTCATGATGTGTTTTTTCAGTAAAGAATTTTTTACATTTTAGTGGAGCCACATTTATCCATCTCCTTTTTTCATAGTAGTTTGTGTTTATTCAGCCTTGCTTAAGGGACCTCGCAGTATCCCAAGGTCATTAGATTATTTGTATACAGTTCTTTTGGATACTGCATGGGCTAGAAAAAAATTAGGCCTGAATGGGGGTTGAGAGTAAGGCCTTGATTGGAGGTTCCTTCCATTCCCTCCAAACGAGCATTGACCATTGTTCTCATTTAGGAAACCAGCCAAAAATCATCTTCCTATAAAAATGCGTAGCCTGTCTTTAGATTCTGGATATGGGCATTTGGCCTCCAAACCCTGAGAGCTACGGAAGACTGAAGTTATCGCTAACACGAGTCATTACAGGGCCTACAGACAGTGTCATTTCTCAGAATGTACAGTGATTACAGCACAGACTGGTTTGTGTGTTGTCCGTCCACCAGATAAAGCAAACATTCTTTTCTATTTTTATTTTTTAAAAATATTCTCATGTAAATTAGAATCTAAACTAGACATTTCTTTTTAGCAGGCAAGATTTAGCTAAGTCCTGTGGTGTTTTTTTTTTCTAGAATGCATTCTCTACTTCAGTTGCCTCTTAGAGATTTTAAATGCTTTTATTTGGAGGAATTGCTTTTATTTTATAGTTTCTTAGGGACTTCTAATATCTCTCTTGTAAGGTGTTTGCAGATGCCAATAGCCGCTAGCTCTGAAGGGTTAGAGTAATGAGATCATTCTGTTTTCACTTGTGATGTCTTGTTTTCAGTTTGTGCTATTAGCTCTTTCCTAGCTTCACGGGAGGCATGTGATTGGACTCCAGTGTTGCTCTGTCTTTCATTGGGATGCTTGTTGGTGTACTATTTGTTTTCTTGCATTCTTTTGAGGGTATTTTGGCTTGGCCCAGTCCTGTGGAGTGTCTTAAGGGAAGGATTCTTGTTCAGACAGGCATTTTCACACATTTCATGTACCTCATCCCACAATCTGCATTTGGATTCTTGTTAGGACTGCATTTCTTACCTTTCATGTACTGCTGGTGTTTCAGAATAAGTAGGATAAGGTTTCAGATACTCAGATTCTGTGGCAGTCAAGGCTACATAAAGTAAATGTCGATATTTTGTTGGATTTATTTTTTAAAAATATTCACTTAGGCTAGTGTAATCATACAACTACTCTCTGTAAATAAATTGTCCTCTATCGCTTGGTGAATAGGAGTACATTGGCACTTCTTTATTTCTGAGGGCTGATTCTGATAACCTTTGATTTTGTGTTTATTAAAAATCCCATTCATTACTGGTGCCTAACATCTTCTGTCTAGCAAGCATTCTTACTATAGCATAGAGTGTCATCCTAAGCTCTGTTTTATGGTTTATGTATCATACTTAGCTCCTCAGTAGTGACCCATGTTTATAAAAATACCCGTAATCCTATACATCTGTGCTTGTGTCACACAACACTCCCTCTAGCCAGACAACTCTCATCTGTCCCATGGTCCTTATTAATTTCTGTAAGAAAACCCACGTGTTATATTAGTAAAGATTTTCATATTTAGGGTCATACCTTACTTATTAGACAATGACTATGATACCCAAGGACCTTGGTCAGTGTTTGGCTATTCCAGTTGTTTCTGGGTAGAGTATGTGGGCTTACACACATCATTTGGGAGAAGGACTAGAGACAGCTTCATTTTGAAGGCATGCTAACTTCCTAAAGGGGCATTGAAATGCTGCTGCTGCCGTTTTGTTATTGTTGTTGTTTTTTAAACCAGAAATAGGAGACAATTGGATGATGATACCCATGAATTGAAATGTTTAAATGATATATCTTGGACTCCGAGGAATAGTTCGGATCTTGGGGGAAACATTTATTTTGATTCCTTTGATCTCAATATTTTTATTAGGACTAGTTTTTATAGGGTATTAGAATGAGAAAGATGAATTGTTTGGGAATCGTTGGCTATTTAAGAAAACAATTTAAATACTTTATGAATATAGAATGGGTTGTACAGAGATAATCTTGTTTTGTTAGATGGCAAAGGCGCGGCTGGGTGGACTCACCATACAGCATGGGGGAAAGCAGCAGCCTGCATCTAGGTTAGGAATTAGTACTTGATTTTCTCCTTTCTGTGTTTTGTGAAATTTTTTCAATTATTACCTGTGTCCTTGGGGTTCACAAATTTGTACAGCTATTTATGAGTATACTAGAGGCCTGTGCAAAGATTCATGCACCAGTGGGGTTCCTTGGCCTGGCTTGCAGAGATCTGGCTGAAACCGGCTCTCCAACATCCCCCAAGGGGTTCTGGATTGCGAGGGGGTGATTCTCAGGTGATGCACCCCCAGAATCAGGCTCCCTCCTCTCTGGTTCCAGGTGCGTCACCCGAGAACCGCAGCTGCCAAGTCACTGCAGCTCGGCAGCTCCTGTGTTGAGCGTCGTCCCCTGGTGGTCAGTGTGTGTCATAGCTACTGGTTGGAGTGTCTGTCCCCTGGTGGTCACTGCACGTCATAGCTACTGGTATAGTAGTTGGACGGTCACTTAGGCTTTTATATAGATAGATACTATGAGGGAGGTAGTGTACTTGGCTCTGGGGTCACAGGGAATAGCAGAAATGGATAGGGCCTCTGTTTTCATGGAATTTAGGAGCCTAGTGGGGGAGAGCCAATACAGTAATTACACCAACTGACCTAGTCAACATCTTTCTACTTCTCAACACATGCTCTAACCGTTCTCACTCTTATTTTTTTTTTTAAGTATAAACTACATTCAAAGTTTCTTTTATTTTTTTAAAAATATATTTTATTGATTTTTTTACAGAGAGGAAGGGAGAGAGAGAGAGAGAGAGAGAGAGAGAGAGAGAGAGAGTTAGAAACATTGATGAGAGAGAAACATCAACCAGCTGCCTCCTGCACATCTCCCACTGGGGATGTGCCCACAACCCAGGTACATGCCCTTGACCGGAATCGAACCCGGGACCCTTCAGTCCGCAGACTGACGCTCTATCCACTGAGCCAAACCGGTTTCGGCTCTCTTATTTTTAAAGGCAAATTCCTATTGATTTCAAATGCCTATCGTCATGACTCAAAATATTGGATTCTTCCTCTTTTATTCCCTCTATCTATTTTGTAGTTAATTTCTGTTTATTCATTTCCTAAAAAATGGTTCTCATATCTCTTAAACTCCTATCCATTTCCAGTTCTTTCATCTTTGTTTAGACCAGTGGTTCTCAACCTTCTGGCCCTTTAAATATAGTTCCTCATGTTGTGACCCAACCATAAAATTATTTTCATTGCTACTTCGTAAACTGTAATGTTGCTACTGTTACGAATTGTAATGTAAATATCTGATATACAGGATGGTCTTAGGCAACTCCTGTGAAAGGTTCGTTCAACCGCCAAAGGGGTCGTGACCCATAGGTTGAGAATTGCTGGTTTAACTCTCTTTCATATTCTGATAGTTACATTGTGTAGAGCTGTTACCTATTTTTGGAGAAGTCTGGGGCCTGTGAGATGAAGTAATAGCATATTTAGATTTTTGTGTATATGTTGGAATACTAGCTATTTATTTTTGCCTCTTTTCCTTTTTTTTGTATTGTTTTTTGTTTGCTTGTTTTTTTAATCCTCACCTGAGGTTTGTTTTTCTTTTTCTTTCTTCTTCTTCTTTTTTTTTTTTTTAAGAGAGTGAGAGAGAGTGGGGTCCTCACCAGGGATTAAGCCTACAACCAATGTACGTGCCCTTGACCAGAAATGAACCTGAGACCCTTCAGTCCACTGGCTGACACTCTACCTACTGAGCTGAACTGGCTAGGGCTGTTCTGTTTTTGTTTTTAATTTGAATTTTCTTCCTAGTTTTTTCCTATTCTGCAAACTCACATGAAATCCCACCTTGTCCATGAAACCTTTCCAGATTACTTCTTTCCACTGACCTGAATTTTTGTAGCACTTAGTCCCTAGTTTATCTATACTAATAAAAGGGTAATATGCTAATTAGACCAGACGTCTTCTGGACAAAGCCGCAGCAGCAGCTGCAGTAGCTGGCAGTGGCAGCAACAGTGGCGTGATGGGGGTGGTGCCTTCCCCTGATTGGCCAGTCGCCTCCCACAGAGGGAGGCCAGACTGTGGTTTAGGCCCGCTTTTCACGGGGAGTGGGCCTAAGCTGTCAGTAGGACATCCCCTGAGGGCTCCCGAACTGTGAGAGGGGGCAGGCTGGCCTAGGGGACTCCCCTGCCCCCCCAGTGCATGAATTTTCATGCACCGGGCTTCTAGTATCATATAATTGAGCACTTATTAAAAACTGATTTTTGTTGCTATTTCATATCTGTAGGCTTTCTTCTATTATTCTCTTAGGTTACAAGAATTTTGAGTCCATGATTATAACTACAGAGTGTGTTGTACGGGACTAATAATTGGTAGATGCTTAGTAAAGGCTTGTGGAATCGTAGAAGTTGATTTATAATGTATCTATAAATATTTGAAGGGTCCTAACACTTACTGAGCTTCTTCTATATCATAGTTTATGGTGGTATTTCCCTGTTGATTGAACTATTAGGTTGTTTCTAGCTTGAGTAATTAGGAACATTCCATTGCTTGCTTTTCAGCTTATTGCATGAAAAAGGTAATCTTATTCCCTTTAAAGCATTTCAAACAAAGTAACCATTTGCTATGTATCTAGCAATTATTTAATATTTGTGATACTAAGAAGTAGGGAGCATATTTCACTGCATCCTAGTATCTTGTGCCATTGGCCATGTTCATTTGTGTTTTGGGTTATTTTGTGTGTGTTCTTTTCATTCCTGATGTGCTGTTTTATTTTGCTTTTAGGATAAGAACAAGAAACTACGTCCTTTGTATGACATTCCCTACATGTTTGAAGCCCGGGAATTTCTTCGAAAGAAGCTTATTGGGAAGAAGGTAAGTGATGACAAACGTATTTGCCAGTGGTTGGGGATTATTTTAAGCTGGGCCCTTGTGATGGAAACTCAGAGACCAGCAGATGACACTTCTCCATCAAGTCTAGCGGAATTGCTCTGATATGTAGAGGGGCATGCCTTTGTATCAGGAAGTGGTATCCCTTGGGAGAAGTTTAAAATTGGGGCCCTGACCAAAGTGTGATTGCCAAAAGTCTCACGACACGTTCTTTCCAGGGTTCAGGCTCAATTCCAGTGTAATAATTGCATATTGCCCTGAGCTCCATCACTTGGCTCTGTTCTCTCCAGCCACCTCCTCTGAAAGCTGGTGCTGTGGATTTGTGGTGAGGGAAGGCTAGCCCTGTTTCCTGCCTCCCCTACTTCGCAGGGATAGGCTGGCTGTCTGGGAGAAGCGGGGCTCTGCTGGAATAGGAGCGTGCATCTGTGAGCAGGGAGTGAGCACGTGGTGTCCTGTGGAGCCTTTTGGGGAGCACATGGACTTTCTAGTCTAGCGCAGCGCTCAGAGGCCTGAAGAGTGCATTTCCTTGTGTTCTTAGAGCATAATATTCTAGGACCAGCTGCAGAACTTGCCATTCTGGGGAGCTAGTAATGAGCTTCTGAGTTCCCCTTATTTTTCCTGACCTTCCCACCCTAAGTGTCTTGTGCAGTTAGTTTTTTGTGCCCTGTATAAACACAGGAAATGAATGGGATTGTCCCTTTGATGATGGAGGGAAATCTGTTCAGGGAAGGACTATGATGGTCTTTTTCTTACCTGGATTCATTGGGGATTCTTGCAGACTAGGTCATGTTTTGGGCGAGTTTTTATTGTATCTTCAGAAAGGTTAGGTCATTTTCACTATATGAATGGCCTTAACACATTGAAGCCATATTAACATTTTTTACCTAAAATGTAGATTTTTTAAACTGTTGGTTTAAAGTAGTGTATAATAAATGTACTTTTATTATATTTTATTATATACCATAGTCACTAGAATGATAATTTTTTGCAAGGGATTTTGAAGTTGGGCATAAGGTGACATTGCTAATTTTGAGAAAGCAAGCTGGATTCACTAAAATGAGTATTAAACCTTCTCAGGTTCCTGCAGAGCATAGGCTCATTTGTCATCGTATAAGCCTTGACAGAATGCTGTATTCATTCATGAAGTGTGGTGCGAAGGATGGCTTTAAGCCTCTTTCAATTTCTAGGTCTCCTGTTATCTGATCTAATGTCCAACATCTCTATTTCACCAAGTTGATATCATATCACTTATTTACTGGCTCATAAACAATAGCATAGAGACAAGTAAGGAATTCCTTCACACGTGTGGATTTTATTGAAATTCATCCCAAATCACATTGAAAGGAGTGGCAGCGCATATCATATTTGATTCATGAGCAGCCCGTTGTGTGGCATGTGTTATGGCATCCACCTGGTTTCTTTGAAGATTGCCCTTCCTCATTCGCTTTCATCGCTGGGAACACAAATCACAGTTTATTGCAGCAGCTGCTGAAAGGTCCTACAAGTGGCTCAGGGCTTGGCTCTCAAACACCCATGTGACAGGCCTTTGTAAAGTCCTCTGTCTCAGGATAAGGGGACTGACCTCAAGTGTCAGATATGGTGGCAGTTCTTAAGCAATTAGGTTCTTTTCTTGGTGAGAGAAGCCTCGTTTACTGGTTCCTCTGCATCATAGCTGATGGCTTTCTATTTGTGCTGAGCTCGTTTTGTCCCACACAGTGACAGTGTATCAATGATAAATGCTATGTGCCTGTGTGGGGAGGAGGATGCCGCTCAGCTCTGCTGGGCTGGAACATTCCTGATGTGGACTGCTTTTCCTGACTCACCACCTGAAACCACTTGCCTGTCTTCTGGGGCCATCAGATGTGACAGTGAACACCCATGTGCTCTTGAGTCTGGGAGCAGTCAGGGCAGTCGCTGCCTCAGGGGGGTGGCTAGCACATCACCACACATTTCTGCCAATTCCCTTCAGATCGGTGCAGCTGTTGAGCATGGCACATGGTGATTAAGAGGCACCGAGAGGGAGCATGTGTGCCTATGTGCCCATGTGCACCAAAGCTGATTAGGGCAACCTGTCACAGCTTAAGCAAGAGAATGGAGGTAAAATCACCTTCCCCGTCCAGACATTATTTGGCCATCCTAGAGAGTCTATAATATGACAATTTTGAATAATTTCTAGAATGCAGAGGAATAAGATTGAAGGTAAACTGCCGAGGTGCTTTGTTAAGTTCAATGGCCTCCATTTCAGTTATGGAAATTCACTTCGATTCACTTCTAAGATTTAATTCTGGCTAAATGCCTTAATTAAAGTTACTAGGCACCTCCCTGAGCCTTGGTTTTATCACTTGTGAATTGGGAATATTAGTTGCCTTTCCTCTCTCATGGGGTTGTTATGAGAATCTAGGATGATGCTAGTCCTTCCAGATGCCAGTAAGATAATGTTGTTTTGTTTTAAGAATGCTACTTTTGCTTTTGTATAGAATCCAGCATAGCTTTACTTTTTCGGTTATGATTTTTTTTTACTGGCTCTGGGTTCATGATATGTAAGTCAGCGTGCAATTAATTTGACCATCAATCCATTATACAGATTTGTAAGGTACTTGGTTAGATGTGTCTTCAGGGTTCCAGCTTCCACAAAATGAGTATCCACTCATGCTAGAGTGTGTGAGTGTGCATGTTTTCTCTGGTTTGAGGGAGAGGTAGGATACAAGTGTATGCTAGAAGGGTTTCAGAAGCTGCAGGAATTGCTCTAGTGCTGGTAGACGCCCTCCCCATCCCATGTTTACCATCTGCTTGCTTTCACTAGAATCTTGACTGAGGAATATGCATAGTCTTCACTGTCTGGGTTCTTCATGGCCCTAGAAAAGTAGAGAAATGGAATCCATGGTAATTTCAACATGTCTTTTAGTTTTCTAGAATGTGTTCCCAGGTATTTAAGAGGGTGAGATTGATACCTCCCTAAAAGAACCAGGGCTCTAGTTCTATTCTTATAGCACAACAGTTTCTCTGTGTACATGTGTTTTTCTTAATGCTTAGACAAGTCAGCCTGTGGAATCTATAATAATAAAAGCGTAATATGCAAATCAACTGAACAGCGGAACGACCGTCCAGACGACCTTCTGGACGACTACGCTATGACACCCACTGGCGCCAGGCCAGCCAAGGCCGGTTTGATGTGATTGGTCAGGGGCCCGGCCATCGCCCCATGATTGCCCTACAGAGGGAGGCCCAGGCTACTGGTTGGTGGGGTGATTGAGCAATCAGGGGGCTCCACAATCACCCCCCAAAGAGGAGGCCCAGGCCACCAACCAGTGGGCTATGACGTGTGGGTGGAGCCTCCCTTTGTGAGGGTGATCCATCACGGAGCCCAGGCCAGGTGGGCAGGGCCTACCTCTTTGGGGTGATCGATCACAGGGCTCCTGGACTGTGAGGGCACAGGCCAGCTGAAGACACCCCCCGCCCCCCTGCATGAATTTTGTGCACCAGGCCTCTAGTAAGGTAATAATAACTGCACCTTCATTGGGAATTTTCCCTGCCTGTTTCCGAGAATCTCTAAAGTAGAATATCAGTATTTCTAATCTGTGTAATATAGCCTTTACAAATGACATAATTGCAGTTATCACCACGGGAACCACTGTGTTCAGAGTTGGAGCTTGTTTAGACAATTAAAGGGTCAGAAATGCTGGAAGAGATGGAATTGCATAAAGCTAGAGTGCATTGAAGCACCTGCCCTAGTATTAGATGCTCAGTCCAGGATCTCCTGTCTCCAGTAACCTCTGTCCCCAAATACATGTCTATTCCTTACTTGTTTTTGCCACTGGTTCTATTGAATAAGCAAAATTTGAGGATGAGGCTTATTTGTAAACAGATGACATTGTATGGTTTTCATGCCATTGAAAATTTGTGAACTAGACTGACTCTTTTTTAGGCACTTAAAAATTGAGTATATTTCCTGATAAATGCAGACATTTGGGAAGTAATGAGGCTGACAATAACTTAGACAATTATTTCAAACTAGACGCCCAGTGCACAGGTAGGGTCCCTAGGTATGGCAGGTGATCAAGGCCAATCTGTGGGGCGATCAGGGGGTCCCCACTGTCACCCTCCTTGGCCGGCCTGGCGCTGCCTGCTCGCCAGCCCTGCCCCCTGCTGTTGCCGCTGGTTGCTTCCCTCTACGGGGCAGTTGTGGGCCCCCACTGCCACCTGCCTTGGCTGGCCTGGGGGCTGGGGGCAGTTCCTGTGTTGAGCGTCTGCTCCCTGGTGGCATCATAGTGACTGATCGGTCCACCGTTCGGTTGATTTGCATATTAGGCTTTTATTATATAGGATTCATGTTGCTTTAGATTGTTCTCTTTTCAAAACCTGTCTTTCCTGAGGTCCATACTTATGGGGGCATGGAGTTCTTTGGGGATGGATGGGAATGATCTAGAGCAGTGATGGCGAACCTGTGACACGCGTGTCAGAGGTGACACGCGAACTCACTTTTTTGGTTGATTTTTCTTTGTTAAATGGCATTTAAATATATAAAATAAATATCAAAAATATAAATCTTTGTTTTACTATGATTACAAATATCAAAAAATTTCTATATGTGACACGGCACCAGAGTTAAGTTAGGGTTTTTCAAAATGCTGACACGCCGAGCTCAAAAGGTTTGTCATCACTGATCTAGGGAGATCAGACTTATAATAAATCCAGCGTGTTCAAAACTCAACTCATGATATCCTGTCAGAAAATCTGGTCTCCTCCATGTTCTGGGAGTCACACCACTATCGGTTGCTGTGGGAGACATCTTTGACACCCTCTCGTCCCATATGTCTCCTAGTCCAGACTCTCACCAACTCCTGCTGGGTGTATGCATGAATGTTTCCTCCTCTTTTCATTGCACTGCCCCGGCCTTGTCTTATAACTGCTCTCACCTGGACTTCTGTAGTCTTTTTACCGGTTTTTCCACAGCCTTTCTTTCCCAGTCTAGTCCCTTCTGCACC